CATCAAGGGAGACTGGACGCTGACCACCTAGAAATGTTCTGTCTTGACGGACATAAGTAAGACATTTTTAAATCAATGTATGAAAAAATCTAATTTATGGTCTGGTTTAATGTTGGAAACAAAATGTCAGATGGCCAAATGCCCAACGACTTCGGCATATGAAAAACGAATTTGTTCATTAATATAATCAAAATAATGTACAAAAAACGTTATTATAGCACTATAACTATGCCATTTTTTGGGGGAGGGGTACAATGGCTTTTTTAATATAAAGTTACGAGGAACACAATTATATGCAATATATAGTGATGTGGGGGAGAGGGGCGGATGTACGGGAGGGGGGTCTGGCCCACGTACTTTCCTCTCTCACCAAACCTTCCCCACTCTCTCGCCCCTCCTTCAAAATGTTAAAATGAAAACGTCGAGGCCGAAAACTTGTATTTTACACATCAGTTTTATCCCACAAAAGAAAAGAAAAAGAACCCTTCTACTTCCAATCAATGCAACTTATGATATACGAGATTACTGCCCTGTGTTCAAAAGCAGGCTCTCAAGAACCCACATCCCAACATACTCAGCCATCACGTCCTCATTTCAGGACATATTGGCTATAAATATAAAATTATTAGACGGCCAATTTAAAAAATCCATAGTATTAGACCTCCAATAGAGAAAAACTTTCCTTTAATTTTTTTGAGATATTTGAGAGAAACTAAAAGTCGGACCTGCTCCCTGTAAGCGAGGGAATTGTTTAGCATCTCATCCTCTCTGTAATTAGCCCTGCAGCCTAATCATTAAAAGGGCGGTCTAAGTTGCATCAAATGGGGAAGGAGGGTTTATTTTTTTTCTTGTATGGGATCTGACTGAGATGCAAAACCAAAGTTTTCGACCTCGGCGCACACCCGGATCACTTTTGAAAATTAAAAAAACCTGTTTTTTTCACAATTTTTCTCATTTTCACCATGAAGGAGCACGTTTTCGACAACAATCATTCTATACATTTTTACACTAGATTAAATATGCTACAATTTAAGACCAAAACAGGTTCGTCAAGTTTAGGAGTTTTCGAGATACAGGTTTACAGACTTTTTGAAATTTTTCGAACTTAAAAATTGTAAGCTATTTTTCATGTTTGATCATACGCAATTGTCTTTATACCTTCAATAACTTGTCTTATATGATTCAGTGTAGTGAATTTTTATTCATTTTAACATTTTGAAGGAGGGATAAGTTAGGGGGTGGAGGAGGTTTGGGAGAGAGGGAGATCACTTTCCACTACCAGAAGTATGAAATTGAAATAAAAAAAATATTTAACAAACATTTACATAAAGTGCATACAATAATTGTGAATGAAGTGAAGATTTTCGAAACTTGAAAATGTTAAGCGAATTTTCATGTTTATTTCTTCAGTACCCTGCCTTATAAATGTTAGTGAAATAAACATCTATTTAATTTACTATTTTGAAGGAGTAGAATACATGGGTATTGCAATGGCTATAAATAATGATAGATAGAAACTCTATGTTGATTTATGTGAACCTAATATTATAAACTAATTGATAAAATAAGTAAGCTAGATTGACCTGAGCCATTTATTACGTTCGATCTTTTTCTTATTAAAACAGCGGGCAAAAAAAAAAAAAGCGCTTACCACAAATTTCAAAACTCTCCTTGACTCAGAAATTTAATTTCAGAGAGGAGTGTTATGAGGAAAAGTCATAGCAAAAGATGTAAATATATAAAAAAGAAGAAAAAACTGCTAGAAAAAGGAAATTCAGCGATCACAGTAAAAAAGATTCAAAAGCTTTAAAAATATATTTTAAAAAAAATTGATGAAAACATTATTTGGTGAAATAGATAAGTAATAGACAGATAAAGAGAGTAGCATTATAACCATTTCATTCATGAGGACTGAATGAGGTGGCAAAGGACTGTAGGCGCCTACACGAGTGCCGTTTTTCTGCCGATTATGTACTTTTTCTAATGGACCTTTTCAAATTAGTCAGTGATTTATAAATAGGAATATATTCTTTAGATGATTTGTTTCAAGAGGTTTTTCGTTATTGTTAGTAGTTTCATTTCAAATGACGCTTAATTTGAACTACTTGAAAAAATTGATTTTACTGGTATTTTTTACTGTCAAGGCCAATTGTTTTTTTTTTAATTTTGATGTTTTATGATTTTATGGCTGTCATCTTTAATAAAAGACCAATTGTGACGAAATTAAGCCAAACTGCTGAGTCTCAGTGACCGAAAAACTAACTCAAGCAAAGTCGTCGATCCGCCATGTTTGGAGGCAATTTTGGGAAAGTGCCTCCACTATTTTTGGGGAGGGTACACTGGCTTTTTTTCAACATGGAACACAGCTATATACAATTTATAGTGATGGGGGAGAGGGGGTGCAAGGGAAGGAGGTCTGTCCCACTGACTGACTATTCTCTCCCACCAAACCTCCCTCACCCCTCTCCATTACCCCTCTTTTAAAATGTTAAAAAGAATAAATGTTTACTTCACTGTCTCATATTAGACAGTTTATTGAAGATAAAATGAGTAATTTAAGATAATTGCAAATGATCAAACATGAAAAATACCTTATAATATAATATTCCAAAATTTGAAATTCAGTATCTCGTAAAATATTTGATTTACCGAGCCTGATTTTGTCTTAAATTGTAGCGATTGCCGAAAATAAAGTGCGAAATGATAGCAGTTTCGGGATATTCAAAAGTGACCTGGAAGGAATGGGGGAAGGGGTACACAGAGGTCGAAAACTTGGATTTTGCTTCTCAGTCAAATCATATACAAGAAAAAAAAAAGGATACGAAAAAAATATATAATAATGCTAAAAATAAAAGTAATAAATATCTTAATGAAAAAAATATTTAAAAACCATAATTGTAATAATGAAAAAATTGGAATAACTAAAAAAACAAAAAAAAAAATCGTAAAAATGTGTTAAATCAATTATATAAAGTACCACTTCTGCTTTGCCAATTGTGATGATAATGTTGCTGTAACATCGAAAGCTAATATAAAACTTAAATATGCAATTTCACTTTCATAGGACTTAAGTTTTTGAGCTAGACTGATAAAACACACACACACACACACACACACACACACACACACACACACACACACACACACACACACACACACACACACACACACACACACACACACACCATTTTGTGGGACTTGGTTATTTGGACTCAGGAGACCTAAAACATGTATTTCCGTTGAATACTCAGATTCAAAAATTTTCAATATTTACTCTTACTATATATTACATATATACTTAAGTGAAAGTAAAAACGGGGTTTAATAACGGATTTTTTTAAAACCATCGAAAATGGCAAGGATAATAGTGAAGAAGAAAATGACAAAAATATGACACAAAACATAATTAAAATGAGCTGCTTTTTTTTTTTTTTTTAAATTGAAACGTATGCCAGGAATAACTAATAAAATTAAGCATACATTAAAAAAAATATGACCATAATAATATGAAATTTGGTTTATATAATAATAATAAATTAAACAAATATGAAGGATAAAATTAAAAGCCAGAATAAACAAAATGTAATTTATAAAATTAATTGTAAATAATGCATAAATAAATTTTACATTGGGGAAACATTTCTTAATTTGCAAAATAGAATAAATCAACATAAAATAAATATTAAAAACCCGAAAAATATCAATGTCACAGCTTTAGCAAGACAATATCATGATGAAAATAGAAAATAGAAATCATAAATGAGGCTGAGACGTTATGACATACATTAACATATACTACTACCTGAGACTACCTGAGAAGAGAAGTATAGGCTTGATATGATATGATATGATATATCTTGATGACTTTAATAGAGTCAATTTATTACAGTTGTAGAAATAAATTATTTTGTTATACAGAAGTAAGAAGTCATTTATTTATTTAGTTGTCCTATATGCCTCACAATTGAAGGATAACAAACCAGATGAGTCAATTCGTTCGAAGTGTGTTTATTAAGTCCCACATTTCAGATATAAAAATTCTTATTATTTCTTGTCACTTAGTGTCACAAAAGTATTAGGTTCCCGAATTCCCAACAACAGTTAAACATTCTCAAAAGTCTATATCTAGTACCGGGGTTTCGTTTATTATTCAGGAGTGTAAATAACCTAGTCCCCGGATAAAAACGGAAGGAATGTTCACTATTCCCACCAAAAAAAGAATATTTAAAATTAAACTCTTAATAGGTTATTTACAACTCCTTGTTCCTCTGTTCATTCGTTTAACATGAGATCCCAGGAAACCTATTTGTTCCCTCTTAAAGAACGTTTTCCTTTAGTAGATCCTTTATCATCTGAGCTACATTTTTTTGGAATTACCTACCTATCTCAATACGCAAATCCTCTTCCTTAACCTCATTAAAACAACATTTATTCTCCCACCTCCTTAGCAATCAATCTTACAAATACAAGTAAGAAAGAATAAAATTGTTATTAAAGAATTGTCACTCTCATTTGACTGTTATGTTACTGTTATTACATATCATCAATATTTTTAATCAGAACAAATATGGGAACACACTCATTTATATTTATATTCAAAACAATATGTTTACTCATACTTAATTTATTTTAATTATGAGGTTAGATCATTATGTTATGTTAGCTAAAAGTTTTTTTATAATGCCAGACAATTTTCATCTTTTTGTTCATTATAATTATTCTAAGGAGACTAAATGTCACAGAATAAAACTTATTTTTCTTTCTTCCTCTCTCTTTTTTCCTTTTCGCCTTTCTCGCTCAATTACAAAATAAAACTTGGGGTGATTCCAGATCCCTCTTAACCTGCTACCTAATTTTTTATTCCAAATAATCTTTGCTAATGAAAAAATGAGATGTGTTATTAAAATAAATTTCATATGGTTCCACAACCTTAAGCAGACCAATAAGTTGTTTTACATGTAACATTCACAAATGGTTGTATAAATGAAAAATCCAAGGAAGAATGTTGAAAGTATTGATTACATTTTATTAAATCACAACAAAGTAGATTTTAGTAAAACAGACATACTTCAAAAAATATATTATAATGTTGTAAAATATGTTAATGTCATAACTATACAATCTAATAGTATTTACATGATGAAAAAAAAAAAAAAGTTTCTATGATTTTTCACTTAATAATAATAAGAGTTCTATCATGTCTACAATACACTGGGAGTTTCTTAATCTAGATATATACTACCTATACAATAGAATAGCAGACATTAAGCATATTAATTTTGTAACTTGTGCATCTATGCCTGATCTTTGTAAGCATAATTAGTTCAATTAATTTTCTTTCTTCAAATATTTCAATGATCTTTTCTTTTACACTTGAAAGTAGTATATCATGATTTCACAGCTTTGATGATCTTGTCAGCTATTTCCTTAGCGACTTGGCCTTTGATGATGTCCTGGTGAGTGGTTGAAAAGGAATGAATCTCAGGGCTGTGTTTGCAGATCTGAAAGAATGAAAGGCCTATTATTCTGATTGATCTTACAATAAAATTTATACAAAACTTCCACTGATTTTATCTTCTCTGAAAACTCTATGATTTATAACAATGATAAGAAAATGGTTATTATTATAATACAAAGAAATTTTATCTTTCAAAACAAATCTGCCATCTGCAAATTACTATGTGAGATTTAGCACACAATAAGGAAATCAACAGAAATAATTAAGATCGCAAATATCTGTCAAAGTGAGTGGTAAGTGTTGTGAAGTCATTATTTATAATCACAGGTGTGTGTATTCCCATATGATAAAAACTTGTTTAAAAAAATCTTGTACAACATTAACTATTAATTGTAATAATCTGGATATCTATCTTAGAAAAACATGAAAACAAAAAAGGTTTTAAGATTGTTTTAAACCAATTTGCAATGAGCATTGCACTTATAAATGCATGTCATGTGTAGTAGAGTATTCTGACTTAACAGTTATTGTTTTGCAGTACATCAATTTTGTAATGTAATTGAAATAATTGTTTTCTTCTGTGTTTAAAAAAAAATTCAATTATTTCATTGTTTTTATCTAAACTTTTATTTTTAAATATAATTTTAGTTTAATACTGAAAATTTTATAAAATAAATTAATTTTCAACCTCAACAAAGTGTTTTTATTTATTGCCCACAATGAAAAAATTGCATTGAGAATAATCATAAACATTTTTGTCATCATCACATCCAATTATATGCAGAAATAGTCTACCATGAAATAAATGCCCACCAGACACATCTTATAGGACAAAAAAGTACACTATTCCTGCAATATTAAGCTACTTGGATGTTCAGGTCCTAATTTGATTCATTATTAGTGTCTTTTGATCAAATGGTGTAACTATTTTCTGAAAACCTACAATTTTGAAGCTTATAAATGATAGTGGTAGTAGATCATTGTAGAAAGTAAGTTTGATTGCTGAATATTATCTTCAGAATAAGTCACACAGACTGGACAAGATAGAATATTTATTTAAATTCATGTTTATTATTTTTATAAGTAAAAATTGTAAAAACTCTATGTGCTCATATCTTAAATTACCTTTTTGAGTCCATAATCACTTTCAATAACAAGAGAACTTTCTTCAGTCTTAAAGAGAACAACCTTTCCTTCAAAAATAGCAGATGCTTTATATCTATCAATGGCAATTAATTTTTTATAGAATGCTACAATAGCAGCCTTCAAATCTTCTTCTGATTCACTGTAATCTTTCAGTTTTTGAGCACACAGTTCCAATCTAGAATTGAAGTCAGGCAAGGCTTTGAACTCTTCTTGGAGCTAAAATTAATAATGAATTTATGTATATAAAGAAAATTTGTAATTTATCATTTTTTTTTTTATTTTCAAATAATTGGTGGTCAATCATAACATGAATTTCTATTGAAATAGCATTTTTTTTTTTAATAAACTCTGTATTAATAGAAATATATTTTAATTTTTTCTAATGTTCCAACTATTTCACCATTTTAATTTATTTTTTTCATAACAGCTTACCTTACTATATTCCAGGTAATCAACATTCTTAATTAGAGTAATGTAGTAAGCGAAGGCATCACACTCATCAGCATCACCCTTCTTAGACCTGTACATTGTAGTAAATAGCTTTAAGAAATCAGGGGCACCATCAATCAAAAAGAGATACACAGTTTTGCCTTGAGATTCGAGTAGCAAGGCCATTTCAAAAGCAATTAATGCTCCAAAAGAATACCCACTAAGTAAAACTGGATCTTGAATCTCAATATTCTTTACAGTCTGCACAAAATAAACAATAAAATCAGTTATGATGAAATATATAATTTTTAAAATGATGCCTAATCTAGTAATAATTAAGGCTGGAGAATCAACAGACTTGTAAGCACTGTGTACCTCTAAATAGAATGCTGCGAGAGACCGAATACTATCATCAGGGACATCTTTTGTGTATTGGAAACCATAAACATTGAATGGTAAGTTGGAAGTAAACTCTTCAAGGAGGCTAACAACTCCTTCAATCGGATGGACAATAAAGAAAGGCTTCGGCCTCTTGGGAAGAGTTGCAGACGGCATTGAAACCAATGTTTGTGTAGGCATCAGCTTTGTTTTTACGTTTTTTTCCTTAAAAAAGTACATACAATATAAAAATTCTTAATTGTGTCATAGAATATTATGTCATTATCATAATTTTATATTATGTAGTTATATGAAATCATTTTTAACCCTACATTTGATTTGTCAGTAGTTGTTTGGATACCAGAAAGTTCTTGAAGTTTTCCAAAAGTGAGTAATCTAATTTCACCAGTACTAAGAACAACATCATAGTTCCTTTCAAGTATTTGCTTAATTTCTGAACCCATTAAAGAATCCATACCCAGTTCTCCCAAATTGGTTGAAGTAGACACAATATTATGTGAATCTTTGATCCCTAGACAAAAAAAAAAAAAAAAGTATGAATATAATGAAAATAGTATGAGGTTTTGGCATAAATATTCAATATTGAATTTACCAGTTCCCCTGCTTAATTATGATTTTAAAATATTGACAACAGTAATAATTCATACCAAGAATGTTGGCAACTGCGTCAACAAGACTGACAGAACCTGTTTCTATTGCCACTTTCTTTTCAGCAATGACCATTGAAGACAGAACAGGATATGGTTGTTGAAGGAAAAATTCAAAAGTGGACAGGACAGAATTTATTCTTTGTGGTAAGGTTCCTCCAAAAACTGTTTCATTATCACCTCCAAGAGCTTCAATAATCAAACCAACATCACCGATTGCCCCCCACTGAATAGCCAGCTTTTGATTTCATAAAAATAAAATAAACAATTACTCTTAGTTAAGTTTTAAGAACAAATAATCAACTGAATAGCTTTAATTTTTACCCCTGGAAGACCGTTTCTTTGCCTCTCTTCACAAATCCTTTCCATTGCAGAGTTTGCTAGACCATAATTAGTTTGTCCAAGATTTCCCTTTCCACAAGCAACAGATGAAAATGTGACAAAGTAGTCAAGCTGATTGCATGACCTACTGGCAATATCAAGGTTTATTGTTGCATCGATCTTTGGCCTACAAACTGCAGCGAAATCTGCTTCTGTCTGATTTTTGAACAGGGCATCACGTAATACCTAAAATGAAACACACAGAAGTTATTGTTGTATAAAAATATCAGGAAAAAATTATTTCAACAATGTAATTTATTGATGTATAAATGTAACGTGATGTATAAAGCTTTTTTTTTGTTTGATGCCTAACATATTTGATTTATAACTTATTGAAAATAATAAAACATTGTGTGATAATTTGCAATGCTTTTATTTCTCTGTTTAGCATTAATGGAACACTGATATATTTTTATCTTTATTTCAATAAAAAATAAGCAGAAAATATGACCACAGTGACAGAGCTTTACTTCTCACACTTTTTTTGTAATATATATTAAATTCAAATATTTCATATTTTTTATTTCTATTTTATGGAAATCAAATTTGTCATTAATAATTATGCTATGCTTTAGCCAAAAATCCTTATTGGTGAATGGCTGGGAATAATTACTGTTGGTAATAAAGAACTCTATTATACTTTTTTGTCCATTCTGTTTCTGTTTTGTTGTTATCAAAAATAACATTCATAGCTAGATATTGTAATTTGTTAGTTATTGGTGGTTGTATGGGGAATCTGATGTTTTTCTGTACGCTATTTAATAATTTTAGTTATTTCATTTCATGATTACTTTTGGGTATAATCAATAAGTTGTCAATATGTTTTTCTGCCAACATTAGCTTTTCTTCTAGCTTCTAGCTTGCTCATTAATAAATTTATTAAGAAAACAAGCTATTCTCCATTATCAGATCATTTACTTGTTTATAATAACCCTCACTAAATTAATAATAATTTTTAATTATGCACAATTTAAAAAAAAATATCTAGTAATAATTGTAAAATAGTATAGCTTTTTAACGCATATTATTTGATATTTTCTTAAATGTAATTTCTTGTATATTGATGAATGAAATAAAAAGATTTAATGGGAAATAAAAATTTTAAACAGACTTGAAGACAGCAAATCAGTCTGAAACGTTGTGTGATGTAATAAAAAATAGAAGAAAATAAAAAGGTGAAATTGATTTTCCTGATATTTTTATACAACAATAAATTATATAACAAATCATTTTGTATAAAGTGACAAAATATTTTTATGTATTCATGAAAATAAATTGTGATTTTTAAAAAACTAACTATTATAGAGAATCTATTTATTATTACTTTTTATTTTTCTCAATCTCCATTTTTAACAATGACAAAGATAAAATACTCACAGCTGCGAGATTGAATATTCCCCCAACAGGGCCAAGTTTGTTCGCCTCTTCTATCAAACTTTTAGCTCCCTTCATGTCAGTGATGTTAGTTGTAGATATTACAATAGTTGCACCTAAAAGCTTCCAGCGACATATGCATGTGTTCTGGTAGCCATTGGTTACTCCTGATCTAGAAACTAGAATAATTTTCTTAGCTCCTCTTGAAATCATCCAATGTGTCAGTTCTAATCCCAAACCTCCAAGACCACCTTAGAAAGGAATAATGGATAAATTATTAATGTTTATCTACAATGCTCATATACTATATATTATAATGTACATCTTTATTGGAAGTAGGCAAAAAGGGTTTAATAAATTAATGTTCAACAGTTAAAAGGCAAGCTAATCTAGTTCTACTAATTCAGGGAAAAGAAAATAACTGAATAAATAAATAATAAATAAATAAAAGAAAATAAACTTTGCCAAAAAGGAAAATCCCAAAGAGAGGATGGAACAAAGGATTTGTTTTGGCAAGCAGTTGGTGTTTGATAATCATTTGTAATAGTGATACCATCTTGGAAGTTGTTGTTTGGCAGAGAGACTAGTTGTTTGGAATGACAAGAGAGGGGATTTCCCTGTGAGCTTGAGTTGAGTAGAAGAAATTATTACTATTTTGGAAGTTGTGTTTTGGCAGAAGATTGGAAATCATTTGAAGACAAATGAATTTAGTGCAAAAAAGGAAGAAACAGTATCTATAGAAAAAAAGTTAGCTTGCCAATTCATAGTTAACTTTATTTTAAAATCAAGCAGTGTTAAGTATAGTTAATTTTAGTTTGTCTGGGTGTTTTGATCTGACTGTCAATAACGTACACCTGAATATATTAATAAATATATTAATACTGTTATAATTTTTTGTTTATTATTTAATAACCTCTTATTTATTTAGGAAGTATCATAATAGTATTAAAGTGATCTTCCAAGGTTATATTATAATTATTTGTAAAATATAAGATAGATGTTACAATATGATGTATTATTTATAAGACAATGAAAACCTTAATGCCTTGTCACCATCACAGAGACGTTGAGCTATTAATTAATTTCAACTTGGTAAACGATAATGATAATTACACAGAAGTAAGACATACCAACAAGTATGTAAGATTTGTCTGGGTTCATGTAGAGTTTTGGTAATGATCTGATCAATAATTGTTTTGGATGCTTTATTATTTTCTCAGGTTCTTCATCTCTTATTTTCAGGACAACTTTACCAATGTGTTTGCCTGTTGCCATGTATCTAGAAACCAATAGAAATAGGTAATAAAAATTATAAAATAAGATTCTTAATACTAACAACATGTGTAATATATAAAATGCAATTGTTATTAGGGATAAACTTATTGGCTATAAAAAAATATCAATAAGTAGTTTTGCTGTTTACTTTGGTATCTCTAACTCTTACACTTGAGATTATTTCTGATGAATTGGAAATAGAAGGGTCAAAGAAATGCTCACTAGCAGATCCAGGATTTAATTTTGAGGAGAGCTTCAGCATGAAAGCTTTTTTTTCATTAAAATAATGATAATTACTTTGGAAAAAAAGAAAGAAACTAATTACCTGTATGAAATGGTGTTCAAGTGATTCCTAAAGCCCTTTTAAATGTAATTATACGAACAATAATACTTTGAGAGATAGTTTTGGAAAAGCAGGGGATAGATGAATAAGGGGGAGAAATTAAACAAGTTCTCTGGAAAGAACACCCTCGTTCACATTCTGAAGCAGATTATATTAAGTACAACCAGCAATGAAAAAAAGTGAAAGAAACAGTCTTGTACCTAAAAAGATAGGAAAAAAGAGAAGGAATCAACTCTGAAAAACATAAAAAATAAAACAAGCTTCACAAAAGACCCTGATAGTATTAGGAAAAATTGTCGAGATAACAAATTCAACCTTGTTAATCATAGATAAAACAAACTTTATGAGAATAGGAAAGCAAAACAGCGATGAAGACAGAAGAGTAAGGCTTAACATAGTGGTAATTTACAATAGATAAGTGATTTTAGATATTTTGGATCTCATATAAATGAGTATGGGTTGGCGGACATCAGGACAAAGGATATCATCAGGACATAAGACTAGCGGTGAAATGTTTAAGTTCCTTGAGGAAAGGCTTTTTGATAGTCTGTAAAAGAACATTCCTTGTGATACTTCTATGTGTAAGTGAATCTTAATACTTCAAGATTGAACACAAAGTAGTGCAAATGAGGTACCAGAAGCAAATAAAAGGAAAGACTAGAAGTGACCATGTGAGGAACCAGAGTGAGTCTCGACATAACACCTATAGATGAGTTACTGGAAGAATTGCCTGAGATGGTTCGGACACATAACCCGAATGCCAGAGAATTGGACAGCAAGAGCTACCTATGGACAGCTGCAGAGAGAAAGAGACTCCAAGGAATATTCAGTACTACGTTCAATGAAGGATTAAAAGAAGATAAAAGATTAAAATTGAAAATGAAGTCTTACCTGAAAGACTGTTCTAACTGCGTATGATTGAAGGTTGTGGTTGGAAGTGGTCTGACAGCACCCGTCTGAATTCCATCACGGACTAATCGTGCTACTTCCATCTTCTCGGGATTGTCAGAAGAGGCATCAAATAAAGCATCTAGAAGGATTCCATGGAATGATGTGTTTTTCAAGAACAGAGACATACCTATAAAATTCATGAAAATGTTAAGCAGGATAAATAATATTGTTTAAAGATGGTCTTATCAACAACTATTTAAAACAATATCAAATACTTTTATATATTTATTACCTAGTGGAGAGTTATTTGAAAGGTCAAGTTTTCCGATTTCAAGGAATCGACCGTGCCTTGCGAGGCACCTCACTGATGCTTGTAGCTTTTCTTCAGATAATGAGTTCAAAACCAAGTCAACACCACGACATTCTGTTTCTCTCATTATCATCTGTTCAAAACTTGTGTCTCTCGAATTACCAATATGAGATGGCTTCACCTGTAATATAAGAATATAATTAAGAATAAAACAAAGTTAGTGCCTATTTACAAATAATAAAATTATAAAAATCGGTTACTTTTGGAAAATTTTTGAGAATGAATTCTCGTTTTTCAGGTGTACCAACAGTTGTAAATACAGTGCAGCCCATGTGAAGAGCGATCGAGATGGCGGCTTGGCCTACACCACCTGTTCCAGCGTGGATGAGGACACTTTCTCCTTTCTTCATGCGACCACGGACAACAAGGGCGTAGTAGCTCTGAATGTCAAATATATTAATTAATTAATTAAAAGTTTTGTTGTCCCAAACAGCCAATAATTATTTCCAAATAATGAATGATGTTCATTTAAAACTATTTACCCATTACCCATTCAATTCCATATCAGACCATGTAATATGAATATAGGGAAATCTGTTGAATCTAAGAAATTTGATTTAAAACAAATGATTTTCTTACAGTAGCGTAGACAGCAGGGATTGTAGAGGCCTCTTCTAAAGACCATTTTTCAGGGACAGTCCACATAAAATCTGGATCAGCCACAACAGAAGTAGCTAAGCCGCAAGCTGCAATACATCCCATCACACGATTTCCTTTTGAATCTCTTCCCGAAAATTCGAGCCCAAGGATACATTCCTGGTACAAAATACATTAATTCTTATAGCAATACATTATAAAAATAATTAATTGATTCTACAAAACAAAACAAAAAAATATTCAATACCTGGTTTGCCATATCTCCTGGAAGAGCATCAGGAGGAAGTTTTCCAGTGGCCAACATAATATCTCGGAAGTTCAAAGGTGCATAATAAACTGTACAAAGTTCCTTTCCAGGATAATTTTCAGGTCTAAAATAAATAGTATAAATGATTTTTTTTTTGCATAAATAGAGCATAAAGAGGATTTTAAGAAAAATGCTGATTATTTACTTGTAGAATGATAGAGGTCCTTCGATCCACCGAAGACTGGACAAATCCCCACGCACGAGTGTATTGACATAAGCATGTTCAACATCCAGTGAGCGATCATCAGAGTAAACTGGTAAGTGTCTGAATGAACCCCATTCTCCATCTTTCAAGACGTTGACAAACAGATCTTTCTTAATTTGATCTTTGTGCTGAGCCATTGAGAATTTTTTGCCAAAAGTGAAGACACATCTGTAAGAATTAAATCCAATATTTTCAAAAATGGACTGAAATTGTGTACATAAGCCCCATCAATCTACAAAATTCGACTAATAAATTATAAATTTTACCAACCATGAGTGTAGAAAACTGATGAAGTTGAACAATTGCAGGATTCTTCATAAATTTTAGGTGTTATTATGGTAATAAAATTGTACAAAATATTTTATGAACATATTGATATAAGTAGCTTATATTTTTTTCTCTACTAATAGCAGTTTAGAATATAAATATTTAATGATATTATGATTTATAATACAATTAAGTATTTATTATCAGGATTAACCTTGATTTTTTTTTACAAAACTAGGAATAGTTCGAAATATTTTACTATGTTGGAAAATGAAACAAGAATTTGGAAAACAAACTCTGGGATTATGTGAAATTTGGATTCACCCTTTATCAGATGAAATCTGTCCCAAAAGTAATTAGTCGAAGCTTCTAGCTGTAACCGATACAGATTGCACTTAGATCGCCTATATGCTATTATATAGTGATAAGACCGCGTGTCACTCAATTCAAACAACTATTGGGCGTAGGAGATCGATTTTTGCATATATATTAATTCAGCATATTTATTTATTCACATATTCCTTCTTTCCTTTTCTCATTTCCAGATCTTTACCATCTCCTCCGCTTTTACTATATTATTATTAACCAATAAGAAACACTGTGAAAAAATAAGACGTGTTTCTATTGATATTACATCTTATTATTTTTTATTTAATGGTTTATGAAATTCTTACACTTGATATTTTATTCTCAACTTTCTATCATTATTATTCTATATTCATCACCATATTATGTTTATTTTATTTCTACTGAACATATTATTTGATCATCTTACAACAATTATCACATATTATTCATTATATTTACTACTTATTTCTCCGAGGTATCTATATTACTTAACATTAGGTTTCATTTCTTCATCATTTAATTAATTATTCCTCTGTTTATATCATTACTTTATTACTATTAGTTTGCTCAAGTTATTTTTTTTTTTTTTCATTAACAGTTCACTTATATTTTCATTTCTTACTATTACATATAATACTCATTATTTTAATATCTATTCATTACTTAAAATTGATTTATAAACAAATAACATATAGTTTGTTCTCATATCCTATTACAATAGTTGTTTAATAATTTTTTATTGTTATCTTGTCTTTTCTCAGTCCCAAAGAAGGTAACCTGGGCCAAAACGTCAAACAAAATAAAATAAGTTTTTTATTTTTATTTATTTGTTCTCTCTGACTGAATAAGTTTTTAATTTGCTAATTTTGATTGTTGAAAAAATTTTATATATTAATAATATTTGTTATAAAGTTACAGATATGCTATTATGGACTTTTATCCTTCTGAATATTAATATAATTTTTATAATATTCAGAGATAATGTTTCTTATTAATGCCAGAAATTTCGATATTTATGAGTTTGGGATAGTCTTGAAAATATCCTTTAGGAGTATGGATCACTTCCTGTTAGTAAAAAATGAAACAATGAATGGAGTGGAATGAACTTGAAATTGTCTTCACTCCAAGCACTCAAGTCCCTCCGTCCCATTGTTTCATTTGGAGTGTTTGTATTGTACCTTAAAAGAAAGAAATAATTAAAGCTAATAAGTATTATTATAGTAGGTACCTAAGTTTAGCTCCTCCTTTTTCCCTTTTTAAGCAATTAAAAAAACCAATGAGGCCACAGAAAGGATCATCATCTGACACCAGAAGGATCCTTTCTTCGGGATCTTTCGATTCTTTCATGATTTTTTTAAGTTGGTCAATCCATTTAAAATTTGTCTGCTGAATTGGAATTATTTGGCTTGGTAAAGAGGCCTTCTCCTACAAGTTATAAAGTGATTTACTCAATCATAACCGTTAAAACTATGACAAAAAAGGTAGCGAGTCATTTCTTTTACTGCGTACCTAAAACTAGTCAATATAATATTAGGTTTCACATACCCTTCTCAGCAAAACATAAGTGCGTTCTTCAGTTTTAGATTCAGAAACCAAAACAAATTCGTCAAGTTTTTGCAACTCGGCTGTACTATACTTGTGAGCTTCAACTGATAAAATAAATCCAGATTCAACAACACTTTCAGAGGCATTGTTGAGAAGTTGTCCATTGGAAAGGAGCTCATGACCAATCAGAATATTGTAACTATCATCTAAAAGATCTTCCGTCAAATCCTTTTTAATAATATTGATGTCACTAAGAGCACTTTTGTCTATATTTTCAGTAGTCGCAATAGAAAAGTCAACCTGATGGAAAGAAAGTCTTTAGAAAAAAATCTCAAATCATAATGATTATATGTTTTTGAGCAAAAAATTAAATTTTCTTACCTGTAATGTTGGATAAGCTGCTAACACTGATTGAACATATGGCATAATGGGTACAGTTTGCTTTCCAACATATTCCACAATCTTTATTTTCTCACTTAATGAGAAATTTTCAACAGCTAATTGGATTTGAGAACTGATTACTTCTATTTGCAGCATTACCTAAGAAGAAATTAGTATTTTATTTGGCATATCCTAATATGTTTAATAATGTTGGAATGAGAGTTTAAAAAGTGCTCTTACTTTATTGTTATTCAACGGAATAAAAATATATTTTTCAGTTAATGGAGTTGCCTGCATCTGTTGTCTTCTAGGAGCAAGACTTGTTTTAACTCCTCGAATCTCAACCCCACCTGACTGGACTACTCCAAGATACGAGTCGTAAATAACTGAAACACCTGGAGGAAAAGAAGATTATAATTTGAAGGAAGCCAACAATTAGCTGAGAATGTTATTCATTTTTATTAATAAATGATTCTTACATTCTGCTTCCTGTAAACTTTCTAGATGAGCAATAGGATCAATGATGATTTTCTGGCATCTAGTTGGTATATAAAGCTCCCTTGATTTTTTATTTTTTATTAGTGTAAATTGCAACATTGTATCCATAAAAGCAATCCAATTTTTTCTCCATTCTAATTTCCCAGTATTTCCTAAAAAGTAAACACAAACACAATTTCATTTTCTGATGATAAAAATTCTAGCAAATATAGCTGTACTACTTAAGATTTTTTTACAGAAAGAGAGTTGGTTTACCTGAGCCATCCGCTTTGATTACTCCTGTAAAAATTTCTTTGTATTCATAGCCTCTGAGACGGAGATCTTTGTAAATATCTTTCTTCTGTAGTTCGAAGCTGTCTTTGGCTATTTTTGAAAGAGATCCAAGAGAGAGGGATTCTTTCTCATATCCGGCGGACTCCTTTATTTTTCCTCTGACCACAACAGCTCCACTTTCACAAATCTCAAATTCGCCAGACCCACCAAATATATTGACAAGGAACTTAACAGTACCTGAAACATTAATTATATAAATAAATCACGAGAAAATAAATAAAATCAATAAGAGTCTAATTTTCATATCAAGGTTCTTATGGAAATTTGTTCAATTTAAAAGGGAATAATTAATAAATAATTTTTCAAAAATTAAGTTAGAATAGAATTACAGAATAAAAATTTACCATCTTTAGGCATAATTGTTGCCCGGAGAAATTGGGTGTCCTCAATGACTACTGGCATTTTTTCAAATTCTTTGTCATGCAGTTTAGCATATGTTTGCCATGCTAAAGTCTAGGGACAAATAAATATATTCTATGTATGTTTTAATTAATAAAAATAAAAATTAACAAGATGAATGATACTTACAAGGTAGCCTGTAGCCGGAAACAGAACCCTTCCATCAATACAATGGCCACTGATGTAAGCATCTTTACTATCTCCAATGTTCACTTCAAAAATGGATTCCCCAATAGCTTTGCCCTAAATTAAAATCATCATTTTATATTTATATATATGGGCCGGAGTAGTTGTGCGAGCTAAGCCGCTTGCAATATGTAATCAAATTTAAACAACGTCTAGCGTGGTTAGTACTGTGATGGCCAGATTTGGATGACTGACCACTAGGGAAATCTGCTCTTGCCGAGACTCTCCCTACCCATGGGTATGTGAGCCCCGTCAGCCTAATGGAGGTAAATCACAATGACCAGGCTTAGGACTAATGAGTAATTGACATTTTTTTCTCTATAAATTTAAGACTTTAAGTAATTGCATTTATTAATCAGATGTACTTGATCAAATAATCATCATGAGTAAGCCATAGGAATACATAATTTAACATAGGTACAACCAGGAAGTCATAGCTAGTATGACATAATCATTGTAGGACAGATAATAATAATTCAAAACATATTTCTAACATAAATGCCATTCTTAATGCTAACAGCATAATTAATTCAAGGAATTTATATTTCATCATCTACAGTTTATTTTCTTGATGTATTATTCCAAAAAGTATTTTTATTTTTAATGTATCGGAAATTTTTGGGAAAAGTTTTGGGGAGCCTGTTGAAAGCTTTTGAGGCTTTTTAAGACGATGCTGCAAGACAGCAAATTTGTAGTAAAAATAAACCATGGAGACGCTCTTTTTCCAGTACTGTTCAATTTGCTGTTAGAAGTAGTCATGAGATTGATCCTCTCAAAATCAGGAGAATGTATATATGACAGAATGACTCAACACCTAGTGTTTGCGGATGATGTAGTAATTACTGGAAGGACACCCAATGCACTCTTAGGAGCCTTCAAGGAATATTAAGAAACTGCGAAAAAGCAGGAGTTGCCATAAATAAAGCAAAAACTAAATATATGTTAACAATGAGAGAGATGAAAGGCACTAAATATATTGAGGGGGCTAGTTATCATTTCGAAAGAGTGCCACAATTTAGGTATCTTAGCATTATTATAACTGAAGTTAATAAGAGAAGAAATAAACAATATGGATCACAGCTGGTAGTAAGTGTGATTGGTACCTAACAAAAATCTTATGAAATCGTGATATACCAAGATCTCTCAAAGTAAGAGTATACAAGACGGTCAGCCCTAAATTAAGAGTGGCAGCCCTCAAGTATAGAGATGCCCTGGTAACTATTCTAGAAAACATAGCTAATACCTTCTTTGAAGCTACCAAGCCCAGAGATAATCTGTCACAAATTAATAAATAGGAAGATTTTGTGAAACGCACCATGGTATGCATGGTATGGACTTGATCCCCATACATAACCTTTTTATTGCTTTGGACAGGAAAAAACTGGTCATCCTGCATGACTGGTCTAGGCCGTAGACACAACGATCCTGAAGAATATTATCACTTACAATGAAGAGAAACTTTTGGTAATTTTCAATAAATTGCTTTGATAGATAATACTTTTCCGAAAGCTGGAAGATTATTGATTTGAATATAATAAAAAATCAACAAATACCTGCATATGGAAGATCATCAAACAGAGGAAATGTAGAAGGAAATGAAGGCCTGACCCAAAATTGAAAATATTTATACTTTGTGTGCAGCAGATTATAAAAAAAAAAATAAATATTTTAATAATAGTAGTGATACCTTACACTATGTAACACCTGTATTTTTTACAAGACTAAGGTAGAATATAATTTTAAAATCTGATTTAATTTGACCAGTTTTCTTACAATCTTTCTGTAGTCAGCATTATTCCATTCAACTGAATGGTCCCATTCCACTAATGATGAGATATTTGGTGTACCTCTTGATACTGGGTATGTAATGGGTGGATATAATGCCTGCACCTTCAGCTGAAGACCAGCATTGTACAGCCTAAATCAAATCATTAACATTATATTGATATAGAAAAGAACTTGATATTTACATTAAATTAAATAATAAGACAAATTATTTTAGTAACTATTTCCTCAAACATATTAACATAAAAAGACGTTATCTTCCTGTTTAGTTTACTTTCCTGTGTGACCAGTTACGATTATTAGACATTTATCAGGCTGATTCTAATATAATAATTATGATGTCAAAGGAGTCTCAACTGAGAAGCAAGAGAGTATGACCATCAAAATTATTGCATTAGAATCAGCCTGTTGAAAGTCCTATGACAATAAACAGTCATAAGAAAATAAACTGCTCAGGAAGACACCGTCTTTATTTCAATTTATCTACGCCTATCAAACAACAATTCAAAAAAATCGATACTAATCAGCATGGATATCTTGTTAACCTTTTCTTGGTACAGAGATTAAAATTTACATCACAAATGCTAATACCAACCTTCCAATATTGGCCAAAAAAAAGCCCAATTCATCAGCAATATTTTTCTTTACTAAACCAAGACTAAGACATTTAGGTAATGATCTCTTGAGGATGCCTTGAAAGAGAGAATCAGGTGCGATTTCGATAACAATGGCATTATCTGGGATATGATGGAGTGCTTCATAAAACAAGACTGGAGAAAGAACATTATTGGCGTGGTAAGCTGCAGAGCAGGTGGCAGCAAGAGGCGAGTTCCAATCAGATTCTGGAATAGAAGTTGAACACCACCTCTTTGTCCTTGGTTTTGGATTTGGAATGAGCTTAAATAAGAGAATTTATCAATACAGATATTGTAATAACTTTTAATAGTTCACTTCAAATGTAATAAATTAGTACACACCTTTTCTAGGTTGACTCTCAGTCTTTTCCCAACTTCTTCAATATATTTAGAGTGGAAAGCAACATTAGAACTATTGATCTTCTTAGCAAATTTTCCTTGTGCCTGTACATCAGCAACAAACTTGTCAATGAGATCAGGAGGTCCTGAAACAGTTACTGAATCCTCACCATTGTGGCAAGCTGCGTAGACACCAGGTGGTGCTTGTGCTTTGGCTTCTTCCCATGTTAGAGCTACAACAGAAAAATTATACCTTATTTAAATTTCACCTTACTTATTTTAATATAAATAAAATAAAAATATCAATTATTACAAATTGCAGCCATAGCTCCTCTTGGTGGATTACTATCAACAACACTCCTGCCTCTCCAGTAAGCAGCTAATATAGTTTCTTCAGCTGTGGAACAGCCATCAGCATATGCACTAGCCACTTCACCGGCAGAGTGACCAATTATGCCGTCAGGAGACAGGCCGAGAGTGTTAAGTAAGTCAATCAAAGCAATCTGAAATGAAAATTTCATTGAAGCAGTTACTTAAGAAATGAGACATTTGATTTCATGATCTGGTAAAAAATGAGCCTGAGTATTAAGGGATTAAGAGATCACCTTATGCTAGTTCAAAATAAGGCTTGGGGACATTGAAATTTATTTAGTAGTAGTATGTTCATGGAATGAATCTCTACCTGCTCAGTTTGATTAGAATAGGTTGGTTACCTGGAAGATAACTACCCAGAAATAGCCAAGAATGGAGAAAAATAAAAAAATAATCAATTGTGAAAAAGTTAAAAATATTTTTTTTACAAAGCTTTTATGATAAAATCTATAAAATATATCTGGAAAAAATTTTCAGTCTGTACATTATTTATACCATGTATTCTTTTGCATTAAAACTGTCTCTGACTAATACTCCCAGATCCAATCTGAACTTAAAATAATACATGTGTCTTTTCTGAGGTAACACTTTTCTTCAATACTAATATTTCACTGTATAATAAATATAATAAAAGATAAATTACTTGAACAGCAGTAATTGCAACGAAGGTATGTATGCCATTATCGAATGCTGATTCATCAGTACTATTCATGATAACGTTAAGGAGATCAACACCCTCAGTAGCGAGAACAGCTGCACTCTGGTGGATAGACCTGGCAAATACATCGAAGCCCATTAAAGCTTTCCCCATTCCAGGCCATTGCGTTCCCATTCCTGAAAGTATGTACCAGACCTCCCTCTTCTCAACTGGCTCCTCCTGAAAATAATACACTAGTCAATTTATGTAAAGAACCTTATATCCATCACCGGCAACTATATTAAAAGTAACTTACAGAAACTTCTCGAATAGGTGTTTCAGAAAGCACAGTGAATCCTCTGAAAGGGTGACCTACAATCCTCTTACTATGGATGTCATGTAATAGTGCAATCATTTCATCGTCTCTTGGCATCTTTTCAACCTGCAAAACAAATCTTACTAGAATATTGAAATTAAGAATAGTTTGACTTGACTATTCCAAGATCCATGTATCAGTATTTGTTTCAACATATTTTACTTTTTTTAAGAAGTTAGTAAGAGCAGTTGGTGTTCTACCCGAAGCTACAACAATCCTAGGAATACTGCTTTTGGTGGGTGGTGGTTTAGGTTTAGGATTTGACTTAAGAATGGCATGAACATTACAGCCCCCAAAACCAAAAGAATTGATTCCCACAAGCCCACCATTCCATATCCAGTTCTTGTCAACAACCTGAAAAAAAAAATTTTAATAACAAAAATATTCTTTATTTGTTCCTTTAGAGTAACATACAATGACAGAATTGAGGGCTTTAGAGCACTACCATATCCAGGATATAATTTTGGGAGCTCAAGCCTGAAAGCTTTTAAAATTATATATATATATATATATATATATATATATATATATATATATATATATATATATATATATATATTGTAATATACACCTTAATTGAAAATTGTTAAAAATAGTTTAATAAATTAATGTAACAGTGAAAAGGCAAGCTAATCTAGTTCTACTAGTTCAGGGAAAAGAAAATAGCTGCTCTGTAGTTTCCCAAAAAAGGAAAATCCCAAAGAGAGGACAGGGCAAATGATTTTGTTTTAGCAGCAGTTGGTGGTTGGCTGTGGTAAAGAGAGGATGGGAGAAAGGATCCTGGCTCCATTAAAAACCCAGTAATAGTATTACCATCTTGGAAATTTTTGTTTGGCTGGGACACTAGTTATTTGGAATCACAAGAGAGAGGATCTCCCAGGGAGTATGAGATGAGTAGATAAAAGTGTCGCCATTTTGGAAGGTGTGTTTGACAGAAATTTGGAAAGTGTTTGAAGACAAATGAATTCAGTGCCACAAAGAAAGAAACAGTGTATATAGGAAAAAAGGTTAGCTTGCCAATCCATAATTGACTTTATTTCAAAATCAAACAGTGTTTAGTGTAGTTAATGTTAGTCTGTCTGTATATATATAGATACATGTATGTATATATATATATATATATATATATATATATATATATATATATATATATATATATATATATATATATATATATATATGTGTGTGTGTGTGTGTGTATGTATATACATATATATAAAATGACAATTATCTGGAAAAAATATAGAAACTAACTACCTATATGAAGTGGTGTTTAAGTGATTTTGAAGTTCTTTTAAAAATATATCAGATGGTTACATTGGTTATATGGTTATATTTAGTAGCTGAATATGCATTATAATTTAAAAAATAGAACACATTGTTATTGTTTAAGTATTTAGCTTAGATCAATAGCAGTAACAAATATATACCAATGAAAGAAAAATAATTTATCCATTTTGGGGGCTGCAACCCAAATGCGTATCTCCCCACCTCTCTGCATATCTGCCTGTGCTTTAGAGTAAGATGTAAATGAAAAATAATAATTAATTATAAGTTAACTTCTAACATCAATATTTTGTTTAATGAAAGAAACATTAAATAATAAAAATGAAAAACAACCTTGAAAAGTTGCTGGACACCTGGGAAAAGAAAAAAAACAAGAAAAATTTCCAAAGGAGTAAAGGACATAAAAAAAGGATTCATTGCCAGAGCTGGGTAATGTAGAGGAAAAGGTGATCTGATTGGAGAAAATTCAAACATTCTCAAAAGGTGGAATCAGTACTTTAGTGAATTGCTGGAAAAAAAACATCTGAAGAGATTAACAACTTAAATACACTCTTAGGTGAAGCACAGGAAGGAGCAGAACAAGTAGAAGCTCCGGAGAAGGAAGAAATAATTGATATCATTATGTCAATGAAGAATCATAAGTCGCAAGGTCTTGACGAGATTACTCCTGAGAGGTTAAAACATGGTGGCAGTGATATGTGGGAGGAAATTTATGACTTAATTTTGGAGATATGGTTGGAAGAAAAAATGTCTGAAGATTGGACAAGAGCAGCAATATGATCAATACACAAGCAAGGAAACAAGTGAAAAGTACACAAGGAAATATGTGAAAAGTACAAAAGTAAACAAGGAAATATGTGAAAAGTATAGAGGCATTGCTCTATTAAGTACAACCTATAAAATATTGGCAGTACTCCTACTTAAAAGACTGAGAGATTTTACTAAAAAACTAATAGAAGAATATCAGGGAGCTTTAGGTCTGGAAGATCAACAGTTGACCATATATTCTCTCTGAGACAGATAAAGGAAAAATGTTATGAATTTATCATAGACATGCACCTTCTCTTTGTGGACTTCAAACAGGCATACGACAGTTTAGACAGAAAGGGTCTTTTGAAATCTATGATAGATGTAGGCATACTTTACAAAAATGACACAAATGAAGACTACCTATTGAGTGAAACTTGCAAATTCGCTGTGATAATGGATTGAGAAAGGGTGATCCTCTATCTCCCCTTCTTTTTCGTATGTCTTAACATTTGGTCCATGCCGATGATGTTGCCACTATCTCTAAAACCCAAGCAGCATTATCAGGAACTTTCCAGGAATTCAAAGAAGCAGCGGCTAAACTAGGCCTTTGAGTTAATGGAAATAAGACGATGTATACGAAAAATTCAAAAATGGAAAAAGAAGTGAGTACAGCTTTAAGTGATATAGCTTTAAGGGATCACAACTTTAGGTCTGTTGACAAGTTCAAGTACCTTGGAAGCCTGGTCACATGCAATAATAAAATAGAGAGTGAAATAGAGGCCATGGTAATAGCAGGAAATAGAAGCTATTTCTCACTGCAAAGAGACTTGAAATTCAGATCACTCTCCAAAAGAATCAAAATTCTCATCTACAAAACCATAGTAAGGCCAGTGGTTATGTATGGATGTGAGAGTTGGACCTTAACCAAAAACTCAGATGCACGCTCAACTCCTGGGAGAAGAAAGTATTGAAAAAAATATGGGGTGCAATCTTTGAGAATGGAATTTGGAGAAGAAGGAAGAATGAGGAGCTGCGGGAACTCTATGGTGAACCTGATATTGTGGCATTGATAAAAGAGCCAGAATGAGATAGTTAGGTCATGTGGAAAGAATACCAGACCAAAGAATGCCAAAGAAGACACTGCATGAGAAGCCAGATGGCAAAAGAAGTGGAAGACACTCTCAGATCAGATGGCTGGAGGATGTGGAGGACAATCTGAGGCGGCTGGACGTTCAAAGATGGAGGAAAGTAACACAAGACCGTGGAGATTTGTTGGCTCAGTGGAGGAGGCCCAGATTCTTGCAGGACTGTAGTGCCATAATAACAATTAAAACAAACTATTAATATATATAAATATTTACAATGTTTTGAGAACTGGATCAATAGGAAGTGAATAGATGTGTATGATTGAATATATGGGATTAAGAAGTGTGAAGGGTATTGAATTTGCAGATGTAGGAAGAAGTGGAGTTCCATAGAGAAAAGGATTGGTGAGCTGTTTTATATAAATCTGAAGACTAAGTACCGGTATTGCAGGAGTGAACAGAGAATTTGAGTTGAAGGAGCTCAGAAATGTATGAAGGATATATTTGGATAGGTTGCTTAGATTTGGACGACGTAGAAGAGGAAAGATGCCAGGAAGTATTTATGATGGTAGGAAAGATACAGCCACTTCAAATCTTCAAAAAAATCAGAGACAGGAGTCCTTTGGAATCCCAATGATGAATCATATAATGCGCTGAAGGTCAAAGGCCAAATGAGCTTAAGCATTGTGCACAGCACCACCGTTGCCTGGCAACCTGATATATGACAAATGTGTTATAAAAATAGTCATGAGTTCGCGTCCCGGTGTCAAGGTGCCATTTAAATCCCCGCCCACAACCCCTGGCCTGGGAAAACCAGAGTGGTTCAATGGAGTTTAGGAGGTTATGGGTCATTTTTAGGAGAGCAGATTGTGATTAGGGTCAAAAAACTCACATATGAGGATGTGACATACCTGGGTGTCAGATTCAGGAGAGAATTTGGTGATACCTCACACATTGTATACCTTAGAGATATAGCGATCCACTCTTTAATCATGGGGTTGAGAATAAGTGGATCAAATACCCATCGACCAGAGTCATTTACACAAGCATGGTCCTATGAATACTGAAGTATGCATCCTCTGCAAGGGCTCATTACCTTACACAAGTATAAAGTAAAAAAGTGGCAACCAACCAGAGACTGGCACTGATTAGGGTCACAAAAGCATACAGGACGATTTTGCACAAAGTGGTCCATTTAACTCTGGGAAGAGAACAGAGATGGGAGAAGTAGTGGATGGGGAAGAATAATTATTACAAAGATCAAATACGGATAAAGAGAAGCTGGAAGGAAGAAAGAAAACCAGTTTTGGAGAACAAATGGGTAGGGTAACAGGAGAGCTTGAGAGGTGCAGGTAACTCCTCTACTCTTTGCGGAATGATCAAAGAATAGTGCCTTCCCTACTGCATGTGCCTTCCCAGTCCTCCCTATCCCTACTAACAACTACTTTCAACTCCTTGTATTGTCTCCCAGGGAGTCCAATGGGGCTTGCGGGCGACAGAGGTGGGGATCTTCACTTCTGCCTTCTTCGCAGTTGTTTTGATTCTTTAAGACACCCAAGTTAGGTGGAGACAGCTCGAGCCAAGGCTGAGTGATGGGGGGTGGTGTCTAAAAACATACACTGTCAATTCAACCCACCGGCTCACCCCATTGTATATAATGCCTTCTGTAAGGAGAGGGGGTAATACCTGTAGCGAACGTTTTTCCACTCCCATACTCATGGGAACAAAATGCAATCTCTAAAAAGCAAAAAACAAAAAAAAAAACTGACTCACAATACTGGTAATGACTCGGTTTTAGACACAGACTTAGAGGAAATGGAACTGTTAGAGAAGGAAGTGGTTGGGAGATAGTTAGAGGAGACATCAATGAAACCTCTTGAGAATAACTCTAGAAGCTCGACTGAGATTATTTCAGTTCAAGTTTCTAAGCTCTCTATTAAAATGGAGGAGATAAAGTGTTCTGGCTGGTGGGACGAAATCCTCAGATACTGGAGTGATACGAAGATTCAAGTTCTGTGGCGCGCAGAGAAGAAAGTGGAAGAGAATGAAGAGACCGAGGAAAGCCTTGGACTGAGCTACCAAGTACAGCAGCTCCGGCTGTTAATGAGCCCAGGCCAGTCCTGCCTGCAGCGAAGAGGGCCAGAAATGAGAAGACGGATTAAATCTCCTATGCTCTAGCAACTCAGAAAAATAGAGTGGTAATCATCCCTTGTGGATATCTGCTTTGCTGGAGATGGATGGCATCGTCCCTGAGTTTAGTGGCTTTAGTCACCATCTTGGGGTTGTATCATCGTCTGTGATGGTCAGGCCACCAAGGACTAGATTAACTATTAGTGGGGGTATTAAACTCCACTCTAATAATGTTGATGAGTTTGAAAAGCCTGTCAGGATAGAGGTATACTTTTCTATAGAGAAGATTCTGAACGACCTATTTTTAAGGAGGCTCCAGATTCAAAATGGCAGGGTCTCAGACATTGGTAGTTGGCAGGTGTTGGGAACCAAGACGGGGAAGAATGGATTCTATTGAATCCTTCAGATCCCCGAAACAAGTATCAAGCACCTTGAGAGCAGGGATATGATGGTGACATATTGCGTTGCCAAGGTTGCACTCAAGGTGTTTGAGAAAAAGCCGCACAAATCTAGTGTGCAGACTGCAAAGATTGGAGATACTTTGAAAGTTCCCCGGGTAGTAGAGAATGGTACACTTCAACTTTGTGTAATACTGGGCTACATGAGTATCTCTTGAGATTCCGAAAACAAAACGTATTGCACAATTCATTAGGTGTTTAAGTTTGGCCTCAAATTCTCCCGAGAGTTGGCCATACACCAGACAGCCGTAGAGTAATCCTATTGTGGTTCGCCCAAGCACAAATTCTGTTTATATCTTACATGTAATTTTTGGATGGCGTCAGAGGATTCGGTTGGATTGAAGGAGAGGTAAATCTGGACGTCATCAGCATACAGATGGTATTGGCAGTGTAGGATAGAGGGTGGAAGGTCATTAATGAAAATGGAAAAAAGGATGGGAGATAAGGAGGAGCCTGAGACCTCTGGACAAGGGTAAAGATTCTGATGGAGGATTATTGGGGACTACAACATACTGGGAGCGGCTGGAAAGGAAGGATTGGAACCAATTAAGGGTGCTAGTTGAAAATGAAATATTTTTAAGCTTGGTTAGGAGAATTTTGTGGTCTACTGAGTCAAAGGCTTTGGAAAAGTCAAGGAGAATTAGGATGGTGAGTTTCTGCTGGCCCATGACTGTATGAAGGTCTTGGAAAATTTTGATGAGGGCAGACTGAGTGGAGTAGCCAGGCCGGAAACCGGGCTGGTTGGGATTTATGAGATTATTCTGTTCTAAAAAGTCGGATAACTGGGTTTGAAATAGTCACTCTAAAGGGGCAGATGGGACACCGAAAAGTGTGCTCTCATTGAGTACAATAAGACCTTACGCAGGGCAAAATGGAGGTTGTGAAGAAGCTTCTGTAGTGACATAAATGATGCACCATCCACATCCAGAGTTTATAAAACCTTATCCAAGTAGAGGGATGGGTTGGTTATAGGCACGGTTATCGTTGAAGGAGGCCTCACCAATTCTGGAGAGGAAACCCGGCTGCCTAATGATGAATAGATAATATAGCTAATCCCGCTAAGGACAGTCATACATGTGGCAATGATAAATGGGTTGAGACCAATAGAATTTTTAGCTCTAGGAGAGTTGAATGGGCAATTAGTTCATTGTCTCCACTCAAATCAGTTGGTATTGATGGGATCTTCTCGGCCCTTTTGTAAGACGACCAACCTGTAATTAAACCCTACCTACTGGCATTATTTAGGAAAAGTTTAGAACTTGCCTATATCCCTAATAGGTGGTGAGAGGTAAGAATTTGTTATATACCTAAGCCTGGGAAAGCAGCTTACAACAATCCCAAAGTATACAGACCTATATGTCTTACTTCTTTCCTGTTAAAAGTACTGGAAAAGATTATGGAATATTAGGGACTCTACTTCTATCGTGTTCGATAGGATTGATAGCAACGAAGTGCTCACGATGAACTTAGACCTTCAAGTTGATAAATATAGGGATATACCCTAGTTCGATGATAGGCAGGAATAACTCTGTGTAATAGAGTTAACTGTTATACCGACAGGTCCTTGGTGGAGCAAGGATCAGGGGTTGGCACCTGCAGAAAAGACAAACCTAATGAGGGAATATTTATATCTCTAGGTAAATATAAGTCTGTCTTTCAGGCTAAGATATTAGCTATTGACTTCTTTACTCAATCCTTAATCCTTAAAACCGAGTTTCTATTGATGGCAGTGACATGTGGAAACCCTATGCACACTACCACAAAGTTACTCAAAAAACCCATGCCAGAAATGGTTAGGTAGGTAATAAAATTTTTTTTATTATTTTTTTTTTGAAAGACAGATTGAAGATGATTAGGGAGAGAATGCTCCTCTTGGAGATTACAGGTTTGATTTTTTACAATGCGTTCTGATGGTCTTAGGAGGTTGGATAGGAGGAATCAAATAATACTATTTACTTCATTCACATATAGTGGTTTATACTATTAATTAATGAAAAGATTTTTAAATTAATGTAATAAGAAAATCTATAAAATTAATTACTTGAAGGCTCCCATCAGTTAACCCAGGAATATCAGTTCGTGGACTTTTGAAATGTAGATTAGCAGGGATCACACCAGATTCCATGGCCATTAAAACCTTGGCTACAGAGGCAAGACCTGATGCAAGTTCGGCGTGACCCATGTTTGATTTGACAGAGCCAATGAGGAGAGGAGACTTCCTACCTTGGCAGAATACGTCAACAATGGAATTCAATTCTTGTGCATCACCAGCCTGAAAAAATAAGCATTAGAAACCTATTTTCATTGCATCAAGGCATTGCATTACTGCAATAAGTAAAATAAAAATTAATTTACCTTGGTTCCTGTTCCATGAGCTTCAATATAGTCAATATCATTTGGGTTTATTCCAGCTTCCTTGTAAACTTTAAGAATCAGTTCTTTCTGAGCTTTTCCTGAAGGAAATGTGACACCTTCCGGTTTTCTTCCATCACAATTTGTTCCTGTCTTTACTACTGTGGCATACCTTCGTTTTGCATCTTTAGCTTTTTGCAAAAGAATAGAAACAACTGCTTCACTCCTAACATAGCCATCCCCTGTTTAAAAACTTAATTTGACCTACTTCATTTTAAACTAAACATAAATAAATTTATTCCTAGATATTGTTCATACCTGAAGCATCAAAAGCTTTGCATTTGCCATCAGCACTCAACAAGTTCAATTTCAAAAACTGAACTGAAGTAGTTGGTTTTAATATGACATTTGTACCTAAGACAATAGCAGCATCACATTTTCCTGCTTGGATTGCTTCTGCCCCTTGGTGTAAGGCAAGCAAGGAGCTAGAGCAGGCTGTGTCAATTGTATAACTGGGCCCTAAAAATTTCAGTTGACAAAATTTATTGACATAATAGTCATTTTAGGATTTTTAACATTTCCTTCTATAGAATTTACCATGGAAGTCAAATGAGTAAGATATTCTGTTGGAAGCCATAGAGTTAGCATTACCCGTCAGTTCATAACCATTTATGTTATCAGGGAAAGTTATCAAGAGACTTCCATTATCATTGCCACTCGAACCAGCTATTACTGCAGTATTGGATCCTTTCAAATCATCTGGATGAAGACCTGTGCAAATTACAATGAAATAAATATATCATCATCAATCATTCCACTAAAATTATTTGAATTAGATTTATTTTTGTATATTATAAAAATCTAAAATAAATTGAGAATTATAATTGTATATGATGGGATATTAAACATTTATTCTCACCAGCATCAAGTATGGCTTCACAAGTTGTCTCAAGGCTAATCCTGAGTATTGGATCCATACAGTCAGCTTGTTTTGCGTGAACTCCGAAAAATGTTGCATCAAAGTGTGAAATTTTTTTTAAAGTTCCCAATCTATCTGGTAGCCCATAAATACCTTTGATAAAAGTTCATTTTTATGGTTAATAAATATAATTAATTAGAGAAACTAAATTTTTTAAAAATGAAAAAAACTAACATAAACTAGGAACCAATTTTTTTGTCAATAAAGAAAAATAATTCAACACATTAATATTTATTGATGCCTATTTTTATATAAAATTTATTCTCATTATTTAAACATTTTGAGACTATATCATCAAATTAAAGTTTTACACTTATTATTAATGGAATCAAAAAAATTTAATAATACTGTAAAAACTTTATCTTAGTGCCTTATTCATTCTTCTCAAGAGAGGATAATTTAAAATTACACAATGAAAAACTCTACTCATTTAAATTAAATAAAATTGAAAAAGTTTATTTTAAATTGTTTAAAGAATATAGAATAGAGAAAGTCAAGAGTGATTTAGGACCATCACCTTTCATTGAGAAGATTTTTAGTTATCACCAGTGTGATTCATCAATAAAAAAGTAAGCAACATAGTCATAATAAAAAAAAAAATATTAGAATTCTTAAATAATCTGATAAAGCTAATAGCCTAGTTTTTATTAATTTACCTTCATTCTAAATTCAACTAATCATAAATCTAATTCACTAGATTCATTCATCTTGTTTGGTTCAAGGGTCCAGAAGAGGATAGTTAAGACACATACTTGGTTAATTTTCTCAATGTAAAATTGATCTTTAAAATGTTTAGGTCATGTAGCCATTGAATAGGTTGAAAGATGTGTCTAAAATTTCGTAGAGATTTCAGTTTCCGAAAATAAAATGTTCAATCTCAGATTTCATTGTTATATTGCTTTCTTAGTTTACCAATTTCTAAACTATCCCAACTACTTCTATCAGAACATTATTTTCTATAATATACCACTGTAGTAATCAAACCTTTTCTTTTTCAATGGCATCAGAATATTGTTTTCCTCTCAAACCTTTATCCATTTCCTTCTAAATGCAAACTTGGTATATTCCATGTTAGTCTTTTGTCTGTATGGAAACCAAGATACCGTGCTGACTGAAACAGGAAGTGATATGGAGTTAAAACTTTAATGCTGACAGTGTTATTTTCACCCTTCTCAAAATTTTAACTTAATTTTTCTTGATACTCCTTCTTACTGACCCACAAATTCTAACTGAAACCCTGACCTCATTGATTTCCTCATCTATCCTAGATAAGGTCCTCTTCATCACTCAACAGTAGAGATGGGCAGGTGATTCCAGAATCGAATCAAAGGTCGATTATTCTGAAAGAATCATACTCTCAAGCACTAATGGATACATGATTTAATTTTGGGAGGGGGAACTTCAACCAGAAACACGGGCGGATCTACGGGGGAGGGAGGGCTTTCGGGCTGAAGCCTCCCCCCCCAAAATGCTAAAATATAACCATGTTTTTTCGAAAAAAATATTAAAAAAGTATCTCTTAAAGTATTATTGTTCGTGTAATTACATTTAAAAGGGCTTTAGGAATCACTTAAACACCATTTCATATAAGTAGTTAGCTTCTTTCTTTTTTTCCAAAGTAATTATCGTTATTTTTATGAAAAAAAAAAACTTTCGGGCTGAAGCCCCCCCCCAAAATTAAATCCTGGATCCGCTAGTGACCAGAAAGATTTTTTTTTTATGTATATTTGGATAATTACTTCCGAAGAAAGAAAGAAACTCACTACCTACATTAAATGGTGTTTAAGTGATTCTTGAAGACCTATTAAATGTAATTAGATGAACAATAATACTTTTAGAGATAATTGTTTTCATAAAACATGGTTATATTTTACCATTTTGGGGAGTGAGTATCAACAGGTAATAAAAGCCAATCAATGTCAATCACAACGGATATGTACTTGGATGAGAGGGCGCCCCAATAATAACTATATTGTCAGTCACTACGCTGTCGATACAGTACTTTCATTGGTAGAATTATGTGTCCTAAAATCTGCAATCTTCCACAAAATAATCACTTATCCCTCAATAATCCTTCAAGAAATAAAACTTAAATATATTTTCAAAGGGCAGTTATGGGCACTATCTATAGCTTAACGTTAACTAAGCATTTTATGTTTAAATTTTCGGGGGGAAGAACAGTTGACTCCAGTCTTTTATGTCAAACATTAATTACTAACATAAACCTCAGTGTCCTTAAGAACACATCAAGTAGTAGATGATGCTGCAAATTCCTTCATCACTTGTGACCGACAAGCAGTATTGACATTATCCTCGCCGTATTATTCCTTGGGTCACGGGCGGATCTACGGGGGGAGGGGGAGCTTTCGGGCTGAAGCTTTGGTGTATGATGAGAACAGAAGGTACAAATTTGCAAAACATGTATCCAATACATTTATTTTCTATCTTGAACTTCATTCCTACCAGGCGAAGTTTATTAATTCCTCTGTTCCGAAAGCTGCCAAACTCTCTGACAGCCAATTCGTTATAAATAAGTTACAAATGTAAATCCGCTGTACACGATCTTATAAATTGCCAGATACTTCTGTCAATTTAATTAAAAAGCAAAAATATTTCACCATTATATTTTTCATTAAACTTGGTAAACCTACCCAATACTCCTTCATCGCAACGATTAATTAACCTATTCCCAATCCTTTCAAAATAAATCTTTGCAAACATGTGGTGTCAATATTTAAATTCCATAAAACACTTTCATACCAGTGATGATTTCGTTTAGGACATTTCTCAATTCAACTAGGTCTCCATGTTGTTAACTTTATTTATTTAAACACAAGAAAGTAAGTAATACTGATCTATAGCTTTTCTGAACGTAGTTCAAGCCTTCGACTGGGTGAGTTATGATAGCTTACTTTCCAAACTCAAAACCTAATTATCCCAATGATTTCCCAAATTTTAACCATTGGATACTGGTGTTCTACTATTAGGTTCTACAATTAGGTTCCATCTTCTATCTCCTTCCCTATGATACTCCTACAAATCCATACACTTCTTTAACAACATTTGCCGACGATATTGCCATGCTATTATCTCATTCTGACCCCGTAATGGCATGTTTAAACCTAAAAGGATTAAATGCAACTATGCATAGTAATATAAACTATGCATAGTAAGGATGCATAGTGTTGCAACAATTGCTGCATCAACATTTTAACTCCATGCCACTTCAAGCATAGTCTGATTTCATGGTTTCCATCTAGATAAAAGACTAATATGGAACCTACATTTCAAACTTGAAAGATAAGAGCTTAATCGAAGATTTAGACAACTGAAAAGAACTTCTCATTTTTTAATAGATAACTAGTTGTTTATGTGTAAGGATCTAGTGGGTTACTGTCAAGTACCGCGAAATATTCGTACATCAAACGTATATAATCTTTTCAATCAAAAATCCTTCAAATAATAGTCAATGCTTCATATTATATCAACAACAAAATTATATACCATGACGTCAACATCCCTTATGTTTTTCTTCCCGATTCTCAAACGTTCATAAGAATCTTATTCAACAATTATTTCAACAAGGTCAGTCTAGTCTCTCGCCAGTTATGGGTATAAAATAACACTATTGGTATTAGTGGGCCGTTGATTGGTTTATGTTGAGATTCCGTTTCTAGAGATAATCGTCGGCTACTGATAAGAGAAGTGAGCATGATGGAAGGGAATGAACCTGACTCTACTAGGTCTCGTCCGGCTGTATCTGCTTCAAGTCCAAACCCTTAAGCGAACACTACACGGTCAGTCGGAATAACATTTCGAGGCATGATTGACATTATGATTGACCGTATAGTGTTAAGGTTAATGTACTGATGAACAGGACTGAAGGATTTCCAAAAATCTTGAAATCAAATTTTTAATCAAGAGCAGTGGAGAGGAGATTGAGTTAAAAATGGTGGAGAAAATAACAATACTATTTAGCTTAGTTTTCCTAGGCCTAATATCCATGTACTTTCATGATTTTCATTTAAAATATAAAAATAGTTTTTCATATCCCTAGTTTATATTTTTATAAACGTTCTTCAGGTATTTTTTTTAAGTAATCAATAATTTAAAATAAAAAAGACAACTACACATTTCACTTATAGAAGATTGACTGTTGCGTATGATATTTGTCTGTTCTTTTTCCTTTTTTCCCAACATATTTATTATTTTCGCAATAATTTTGCATTGTTTTTGTAAGGTTTTTTCAATGAACACATTATTACTAATAGACAATGCACCAGATCCACACTGCTTGTTATCTTAACATCAACAGAGCTAAAACGAATTCAGCCTGACTGATACGTCTAGGGTCCATCAGAAATGAACCCATCCTTTTCAGTCTTGTGGCTGTCATTCATGACTGATTGTTTCCCCTTTAAAACGCTCTGCGACCACGGCATTTTTTACTTGGTTACTCTCGTTTCTATGTTGTAAAATCGGTTGCTTTTGTTAGTAAATTATTCTTTTAGACATAGAACCTTTTACTCTTGCATTTCTTGTTACATTTTACTGTTTAAACAATGAGTAATAAACCTCTTAACTAGGTATCGTATTATATTAGTAGATGCAGCAAACAATTTTTGTATTGTATTTTGCAACCAAAGAGGTAAGGAAAGTGTTACGTGACTTGGCACCATATATTTTAAGTTAATATTATTATTTTATTATGAACCTAATGTTTTTAAAACAATAAACAATCTACTGGAGTACTCACCTGTTTTCCAACGACGTTCTGAATCGGTAACCAAGTCCTTTCCTGCCAGAAGATTCTCTATAAACTCTTGAACTGAATCAGACTCTGGAAATCTTCCAGAAATTCCAGATATGACAATGTCTTCGCTGTCATTACCACACAGGCTGTCATCTGTGATTTCTTGGATGTGGTCCATCTCTAAAAATTTGGTGGACATCATTTATCTCCACAAAATAAAACACTATAAAATCTGTACCACTCAGAGATGCCCAATAGGAGGTTTTTAAAATTGAAGGAGGAAAATTTTGACGTGGTTATGAATTTTCGGAGTGAAAATTTTCAACATAGAAAACTGTGGGTGGAGGGGGAGGAGACAGACCACAGAAAATATAATTGTGAGGGGTGGCGACTTTGAATAGGTATTTGATAGAGTCTGGCATCCTGGATTGATGTACAAACTCTGTAAATTCCTACCCCTTATATATTTCGTCATCATTCGTTCCTACCTTTCTGATAGATTCTTCAAAGTAAATCACAATAATACCTATTCATCCCTTTACTCCTAGTCTGCTAGTGTTCCTGAAAGTAGTAACCTAGGTCCTATCCTTTACATGGTACATACAGCTGAAATCCCAACACTATCACCACCACATATGCTGATGACACATGTATCCTATCAGTTAATAACGATCCATCAATTACATCCCAAACTCTTCAATCACATATCACAACCTTGAAGAAAGGGGTCAAAACTGGAGAATTCAAATAAATCCCATCAAATTACTTTCACTCTTCGACATAAACCTATGACTCCCTGTCCTACAGTATCTTTTAACAAATTCCCACATGTCCCTGTTGAACAAATCCGATATCTATGACTTCATCTGGACAAACGACTCACTTGAAATCCTCATACAAGATTGAAACGGAAAAAAACTGCCCGACGTTTTCGACTACTCCAGCACTTATTAGAGAAACACTCTAAAATTTCTATATATTACAAAAGACTCATATACATGGCTGTAATAAGGCCAATTTGGACTTACGGAATTCAGCTTTGGGGCTCTACTAAACCATCGAATTCCTCTCGTATACAATCCTTGATATCCAAAATCCTTCTTAAAATCCGCATTGCTCCTTACTTTGTAATAAATAAAATCATTCATAATGATCTTAACGTACTATATGTTTCCGACTTAGCCCAATCCAGATACCTATCCTTCCATAACAAACTTCAAAATCATCCGAACCCTCTCGTTTCAAATCTTGCTTCCTCTTCGATATCTGATAACCCTCCAAGGCGTCTGAAAAAAAGATGGCCTCGTGATCTATTTATGTAAATATATTATTAGAGTGGTACCAATGTGTAATTTCTCAACAAGCGTTTTCATGTGATGGTATTATTACCGTGTGCACATTTACTGGATGTATTTTTAAATTTACACATTTGTAAATCTCATGAATAAAAAAAATAAGCCGTAGATCGACCCTGGGGTCGGAAGAACCTCCCGTGGCACACCCAGCCTCTGTACAGTGGATATTTTTAATTCCCTAATTAAATAAAGGAGTAAAACATGACGGACGAGCGTGATCTTAGTGCGACAACCTGTCAGTAGAACCATCGATCTTGAAACAGTACTTCCTTGCAAAGTCTTGAACCCAAGACGTGACACCTAAATTTCGAGGGCCAAAAATTAGTAGCAAATTCATGAGTTGTAGTGGTACCGATTTTCTTTTTGTAAATATTTTAAAGTACATAGTATCAGATATTTAGGGAAAGAACAAAATGCAACGTCAACTTTTCAGTATCTTGTTGCCACATTGGGCCAGCTCGCTGATTTTAATCGCACTATAACCTTCTAATTATAGCACTGATTCAACAAAATTGTGCTTACTTTGTTGCCAGCTAACAGATGCTCGTAGCTGTTGTAGTGCGAATCAACATGGGAAATGGACCAATCTGGCAACAAGGCATTAAGTGCTGTGGGAGTTCCCCGAGCCTGATCACACTTTGCAGTCCGCGGAACAGACACCTTTTTATCAAATTATTAACACTCGTCTAAAACTTCGTGAGTGGCTTTATTTTATGGAAAATTAGCTATTTAAGCTCTGTCAGAGAATATGATCTACATTATATTAAAAATTGTTTAATTTTACAATGCTATAATGAATTTAATCAAAATCGTTTGAGCCGTTTTCGAGAAAATTGTATAAATGTGTAAAATCGATGCATAAAGTGCCATTTACGATTAGCGGTTTTTCAAGAATAGTTGCTGTAACATGCATCCATGTCCCTCTGTATCACTGTGTACATGTCCCTTTCGTACGACTTTTAGTTTTTGAGCTAGACTGTTCCCATACACGTGCACACACACATACCATTATGTGGGACTTGGTTATTTGGACTCCGAGAATCCAAAAAACGTATATTTCAGTTGAAAACTCGAGGTAGAAAATTTTCACGATCGCGATATTTTCTCTTACTATACATTTCATATGTAGATAAGTGAACGTAAAAAGGGCTTATTTCATTTTCGTAGTCCACTTACTTTTACTTACCTATAAAGGGTGCCCTGTAAGTAGAGGGGAATTATTATAGAAGCGACAACAGATGTATGTAGACAACAGCTACAAAAAATGTATATAAATAAAATACCGATTTTCAGGAGGAAAGAAGGAAATTAAAGTTTTGTGGTTTTTTAGGTGAGTCGTATTTTTTGTTGAATAGAAAGCGATAACCAAACAAACTATGTAATTTAAATAATTAACAACTACTTCACTATAAACGAGACAAAATTTACTTTGAACAAAAATAGAGTTTATCGTTGGTAAAACCATTTGAAGAGAACTTTTGAGAGGTGAAACTAAGCTAGTTTCAGTTTCTAAAAAAATCATAAATTAGTCGCGATTTTTTCTATCGTCCTCCAAATATATTACAGACACCCCACTTTTATAAAAACTTTCTGGTTTCATAAGGTTCAAATTCATATAGATTTAAGTTGAGGTTTATTAGAAAAAAACTATTCACCTAAAACTAAAATTAGAAAAAATTATTCACCTCAAGTTGTGTAAAAAAATATGTGATTTTTTATCCTGTCGCCTAAAGGTGCTCGTGTTATCAGTAAAAATTACTACAATAAACTATTGTAAACCTTTAATTTATTTTTTATTCGATAACCCATGGGTATAGTAATAAATATAAATGCATTAACACACTTATTATTTTTAAAACAATTTTTGGATATTTCGTCATTTAAAGCATTAGCCACTTAGATTAATATGATAACTTTTGGTCTAACGATAGTATTCAATGAAACTCCATTTTGGTAATTTAAGTGATAGAAATTTAGTTCTTATAACTTTTTCTATGTGGTATAATTGTTATTTAAAGATTAAAAAGATAAAAGTACTTTCAAATCTCTTTTTGTATATAGAACACAGAAACTGTACTTTTTTAAGTGAAAACTTTCTAAGGCGCGTTTTGCAATTTTTTTGTGGAGAGTGCATCAAATTGAGCTGTCAGATCTCCAATGTGTAACGCTCGAGTAAACTCGGCTGGATTAGACTAATTAAAGTGTTTATTCATATGGAAAAACGTTCTTAAAAGTTCATCTCTATTAAAAATCTACTTTGTGACTATTTGCAATAAACTGGCGATATGTACATATATATATATATATATATATATATATATATATATATATATATATATATAAACTTAACTATATAATTGGGAATAAGGTCACTTAATAATTATTTAATAAACTATTGAATGTTCATTTCTTCTATGTTTATTGACGTTTCGATCCCGGTATTTTCCTATATATAACGTCAATAATTTATTAAATAATTAATAAGTGACCTTATTCCCAATTATATAGTTAAGTTTAAATTTAATAATCAAAGGTCGATTAAGGAAAAGTTGTAAATATATAAATATATATATATATATATATATATATATATATATATATATATATATATACACACATATATACCTGTGCTGTATTAATATTTTGATATAATTGTATAGTTATCTCTAGCGTTTTTATGTTTGATTGATAAGATTTGACCCAAAACCACTTCATGTTACTATTTACTAGTTTCTTTAGTGCATCGAACGCAGAAATAAAAAAAAATAGATATAAAAGCTAATCGCTTAGAGTGACCTATTGAACACTGGCATAATTTCATGTAAGTCTAGCGTGATGAAATTATGAGACCTGAAAACGCGGTTATTAGTGTTAAATAAATACTTTTTCTTTACTAATAACCAAACTTTATGATAATGTTGTGTACATACGTTACGTAGCTCATAAAGTAACTCGTCTAAAATAATAAAATAAATTCCACAATCGACCACTTAAATATCATACAATGTTAAAACGTACCAGAAGAATATGTCGTTCCCGAATGGTTATTTTAGAGAGACTAAGCTAACTTGGAGGTTCATTCATTATATTGGGAAAGCTATTCGTATGGGAATATAGAAAATTTATTTACAGTTCTCAGGAGATAATTACCAAAGGGCTAATTGAATATGTATACCTTTTTATTTACGAAGGATATTTCGTTGTTGTGTTTTTTTTATTTTATCTTTTGTCTGGATACCTCGAGGAAAATTATATTAATGTATAATTACCAATAATTTGAATAATTTATTGTAGTAAGTTTTGCTGATAACACGCGTACCTTTAGGTGACAGGATAAAAAATCACACATTTTTTTGCACAACTTGAGTTGAATCTTAAGTTTTTTCTAATAAACCTCAACTTAAATCTATATGAATTTGAAGCTTATTGAACCAGAAAGTTTTCATAAAAGTGGGGTGTCTTTAATATATTTGGAGGACGATAGAAAAAATCGTGACTAATTTATGATTTTTTTAGAAACTGAAACTAGCTTATTTCGCCTCTCAAAAGTTCTCTTCAAATGATTTTACCAACGACAAACTCTATTTTTGTTTAAAGTAAATTTTGTGTTGTTTACAGTGAAGCAGTTGTTAATTATTTAAATTACATAGTTTGTTTGGTTATCGCTTTCTATTCAACAAAAAATACGACTCACCTAAAAAATCACAAAACTTTAATTTCCTTCTTTCCTCGTCAAAATTGGTCTTTTATTTAAAAACATTTTTTTGTAGCCGTTGAGGTCTGTTGTCGCTTCTATAATAATTCCCCTCTACTTACAGGGCACCCTGTATAGATAAGTAAAAAT